GACGGAAGTACTTAAATAACGGCAAACAGTTTTTGTCCATAGTTTGCATTTCAGCTCTTGTTGGATTGTCTCTATGCAATAAATATTAAACATGTATTATAGTAATTAGTGCATATTTTTTTGTATATTACTGCGTTTATTATTTAATTGTAGCCTCATAGGCTATAGGTATTTTATTACAATTTTCTATAATATTATATTATTATGTCTAATAGTTAAAAAGTCTTATAGGGGTAACCTTAACAAAATGAACTTTGTCATGAAGGTAACTATCTATAATCAATTGCATATATATTCTAATTCTTTAGAGGTAAATGTAGTTGAGGCAGCTTTAGTCACTCGAAATTTCAAGACCTAACCTGCTCCAGTCGACGAAAAAGATTTTTATCATTTTTAATTATTACTATTTAATATTAATAGTTTATATAATTATTTCTCTTCTAGAATGTAAGTAAATTGTTAATATAGATAAGAATTGTTAGTATTGTTCATATCAAGCACGCCCGCAGGTCGCAGAATTTAATCCCACCCGGGGCAAGATCAAAATTCTAAAACCAAATCAAAAAGATTATTTTAAATTTTAATATATTTCTATTGTCTTCATTTTAAAATAGCATAATCTAAATAGAAAAAATAACATTATGTCATCACATAAGTCCCTTATATAGGTTTACAATACAATACTAATATTTTTTGAATACATGTTAATGTAGATGTCACAAATTAATTATATTTATTTTACATTGTAATTAGTAATTACCTATCAAATAAAAGTTGTATACGTCTTGGTTGCATATAAAATGATGGTATAACGTCATCAATAATTTTTTGTTTTTGCTTTTTAACAATGTCTTTAATATGCGTGGCATTAAATTAACAATAGTTTTAAAACATCCCCAGTAGTGGCAATGGTCCCCCTCCCTGCGGGCGCCCTTGGCTCATATAGTCATACAGTATAGTAGTATCGTCCTAAATAAACATGTTGRTCAACTTTTCTACTACAATTTTTTGTTACTCTTGGGAGTTTACATATGTGACTATGTGATTACTTACAGATTAGTAGATTACGTATCACATTTTTGCCAAAAGTGAAAGAAAATTTAATATTTGTTTTTCTACCTTATTAATAATTTTCTTTTCTTTATGGACTTTAATGCAGAGATTTRTAAATCGTTTATGTGTTATTGTATTATAGGTATCTTACATATTGGAACACACCTATCTACTGTAGGGCATCTATCATAGTTCAGTTTTTTTTTCAAATATGTAGGTATATTATCAAAAAATTAATAGGTATAATGCAATTTCACGAATTTCATAAACATTCATGATAATAAATAGGTACACTTAAAAAAATAATATTAAATTAATTCGTTAAACACTTTCCTCTGCAGAATCTATAACAATAATGATACATATTGATACARTGACACATTAATACATATAAATACATACTATATTGAYACGCTATAAATTAAAAATATAACATGTATTTATATAAATACCTTGTGTATAAATAAAATTTTATATTTTCGACCAATGGTTCTGCTGCACTATTTTTTTCTAAGCCCGATATTATAGCCAATTGTGGATCACCTCGTCCGTTTGGTAATAACATCCACTTAATGTCTTCATCGATTCGTTCTTCTGTCATTTCTTCCGTTACTTGATATTTTTTAAAACTTTTCTGTAYAAAAATATAATTATTGTATTACCCCTTATTAAAATTTTTATATTATTTTCATTAATTTAAAATTTAAATACCAATTCACTGTGAGGAAGAAATATCAATAGTATTAGGTAAAACATTATTTATAAATTTTAATAAAGCTCCAATTACAATATTTGTCTTGAGGCAGAAACAGTAAACCACAGTTACTGTTACCAGTTACACATATTATAGTAAGTACTTTTTATTGTATGTAAATGATTCATATATTTTATAGATATGGTAACCCTCTTTTATTTTATWCATTTGTATTATACGTTCTATGAATATAACATAGATATATACTATACATTTAATTGTGCTTATAAAAGTTCTTCGCTTGTGATTTATTGTGACCAAAAGTACCTAGAAGGTACCTACTACMTATAGATAATATTGCCTATATTATAAAGTCTAGGTACTGCAAACGTGTTTTGAATTTAATGTTATTTTGACTATGACCTATTTAAAAATAAAAATTAACATAGTAGGTACTATTGATATCATGAAAAATCATGAAAAATCTAACCTTCCTATATAAACATTTTTTCAATCTGGAGGTCAAAATATTAAACAAATTTGGTAAATCACTATTGTCATTTTTGGTAAGGKAATATAAGAAAAGAGGGACTTTTTATTCCAAATATTTTTCTTTTTTGATGCGCATATATTATGGGACAATTGTTTGGATATTTGATAAGTTTGTCCAAATGCATCCTTTCTTCTATAGAAATAGTTATAGATACAAATAAATTATTACGTATTGATTATTAATTTACATTATTTTCTGAATTTTTTTAGTTTTTGATTTTGAGCGGTACGATGAATGTATTGATTGTACAATGAAGCATTCTTCATAGTACAATCAATGTTTTATTTACATTTTTGTAATTGTTAACTTTTTTTTTCAATTACAAACTGTGTATTATCATCTTTTGGGGTAGTAAATTCATAAATTTTCTACTTCAGCATTATCTCTGACAGGAAAGTGAATTTATAAAGGGTCAAAAGTAAAATATTTTTAGTTGATAAAAAGCGTACAGAGTGAAATAAAAAAATTAAGAAAAAACGGGTATTTTTTAGTTAAAGACGTGTTTAATGAGGGTAAAAGGGGGATTTACACGCAGCGTCAACATTTGCAAATATTTTATAAGCAGCATTCATATAATAATTTTACTTTTATTGTTTGGTTTGTGAGGGAGAGGGGAGTTATGAGGTGGCAAAATATGTGTCCCCGGCGGCTTTACACCTTAACACGGCACTGTGCAAAACCAGTGTTTTTGACAAAATAGATTTAGGGTTATTTGGTATGTAACTCAAATATAACTCAAAATGACTCTTTAAATTTTTCA